CTGCTACAGGAACTTTAAATTGGAGTTCTAAGACAAACAGAGACATATTTGCGCCTTTCGCGGGCCTACCACTCAAGCATAGCTTGCACTTGGCTTGAAACCATGTCCTCAATAAAATGCACCTGGTAATACCGCAGTCTTATCCACCGTTTGCCCGATAGTTTAACGCTACGTGAAATGTGAGCTCTGTGAGTATAAAGTGTCAAATGATTTCGAGATTAGGCAGAAGATTCGAGGAGGACTCTCTAGTGTAATAGGAAACACATCACGTGCTGAAACGTCTGGGGTAGGCTTTCAACTGCAAAACTATTACTTAAATTAAGTTTTAATGCTGATTTTCACAGAAAATAAGCACAAGTCCTTACCGATGCCTTTTCATCCGCTTATATAAATTCCATAAGGATATTACTGAGTACTTAGGTATCGTGCGCCTGATCCATTGATTTTCGATGCCTGTGTATATTAAATTATAATTTATGAGGGGGGCACGAAAGTTACTTATGACCGCTTTTTAGAAACTACACTCCTTTCCAGTTATGTTACTAAAAGTGTTATATTCCTCCTTTAACCTAAAATCATCAATGTTCGTATATTTTGATAAACAACTGACCGTTTGCAACCTAGACGCTGTGCATTTTCCCTGAAACGTGAACATAACGCCCATGCTGATATAAAAGGGCCTTCTCATGCCCAGAAAATGTTACAGCATATATGGTTCACCTCGCCTACTTAGCGAAGACAGTAATAAACTCAAGAATGGTCCGGCCACTATCTCAACTTTTTGTGATCACATAGTTCAGCAACCATGGAGTTTAGGACACACAAATAACTTGAGATAGTCTGTGGACCGGGTGATATGTTGAATGGCGGTAAAGGGGGTTTTACGGGTGGGGAAACACACAGGACGGGGCGAAAGAAGACACAGAAAATAGATAAATTTTTGCCGAATTACCAGTTTTTTGCGATTCTTTTTACGAGGGTGGGTACAAATAGACGGTCATTAAAAATCTTGGGGAAAATAGGCATGACTGTGACCGAATTTTTGCGTTCAAATTTTGCACCGATGAACTAAAGGATGCTCGGCAAAAGGCATCAACGCAACTATGCGCACACTGACGCTGTTTTCCCATACTAACTAGTTTTGAAATCCTATTTAACGTGTGGCGGCATGACTGTCACAAGCGACAACGTTCATTGCCACCCTAAAAAGTGGACGCGTAGGTTAAGTGCGCGGGCATTCGTTTACAGTGCAATAAAGGCAGAAGTAACCCCGTAACACTACTATTTCCATCTACCCGCATTGTCTGTCATTCCTCCCCTCAACAGTAAAATGTATTTACGTTGCATCTACTGAACTCTGACTCACTCTGTGCTGAAAACAAGACGGTGTCAAGGCCGCCGAAGGTGACCTCGGGCACAGTGCCCAACATAGACAGACATATCGCCTACGCGTGCTGCACACGATCCAGTCCCTGACTCTTATGTTCTAGGCTATGTTCATTGGGAAATCTCGGAGTTAACACAGGTGCAAATGTCAAAAAACCACATTAAGAGGTAGCCACTTCAGCCTGGTCCACATTCCTCAGATGGACCGATTTATCACGCCATTCGGAAACTTTTCAAACACCGGCTCGGAGAGCATCGTGATAGGCTAAAGCACGTCAGAAGTCTTACAATGAGAAGTGCAATGAAGTGCCGTGGGGAAGAAGTTCTCAAAGTCGGTCTCACTCTCCCTCTCTCTCCCCTCTTCCGTGCATCCGCCCGATCTCCGAGCCTATCCGCTAAGTGGTGATGCGACTGAGCGCGGTGTCTGACAGTCCATTTATGTGTCTCGTCACGACCTGGTCTCCGCTTCGTGAACCAGACCACACCAAAGGACATGCTTTTTACATACGAAAGCTGTGCATGTTCTTACATGGGACACTTTTTCTGCCATACCGGCACTGACAGAGCTAATCGCCTGTGTGCTGCGGGAGTGAGGTGTGATTGTGTTGGGGAGAGATGTGGCGTATGAGCACTATGTGGAGTACGTTCGTGTGTAGTATGGGACACACGTGTGCATGAGGGTGCCACGAAATGTCATTATGTGGTCGGAATTGTGTTGTTATACTGAAGATTACTGTCGATGTGCACACAGCCTAATAGACCCAGGTGATGACCGAATGCCCTGGCACAGTTTTTGCAAGTGTGACAGGAGTGCGGGTGTATGCTGGGTCTGCTGGACTATTTCACCGGTCGCATTACGAGGGATTTAGCAATGCCCAGCCAGGCAGATGAACGATGTGAGTGTGTGGCCGCAGTGGGGACAGCTTGGAGTCGAGCGCCACTGTCGGTGGTGGTGGGTGGTGGTGTTGGTGGACAGGATAGATTAGCTTCCTGGACGTTGCTACTGACGGCAACGCTTCGTACCGGAGACAACGCTTCCGGCTGTTTGCTATGACAGTGCATCGGAAGATACCCAAGGAGCCCCATACGTGACTTAACGTTAGGCAGCAATGCAAGCATGTTAGTAAATTATGGGTATTTGTAGACTTCATCCCTGTTATTTGTCTCTCTCCCTGCCTGAACCTCTTCTACATGATGGGTTTCATAGATTTAGAATCCAGTTTCTGCGACAGTTGGCAACGCCTGCCGATTGCAGGCGGGGTCTCATCCAATAAGAGGACGGATACGCAGTTATTTAAGGCGGGTTTTTGGGATACCTTTGTAACGACGATTTTGTTTGCCGTGTATACGAGCAGCTGTGGCGGCTTTACTCTAGAAGAGCCGACCTAGCTTTGTCTTGTCACTGGAGTTTTGTGCGTGCAGGACAGAGTAAATGACAAAGTCTGACCCATTTTACATGCTGCCCCCCGGTGCCTTCTCAGACAGTGCTGATATTCATCAACTGTGACCTATGAACTGCCAACCCACTGCATAGGCACTCAGGCAGGCTGGAGCAGTCAACTGAAGTAAAGTGTAATTAGAGGCTGAAAGCATGGTCACACAGTCCCGATCACAGAAAAACAGGTAAGGCGTTGTCTCCGCGGTGATGCGCATGACAGTGTTCGCGATGGCAATGAACAGTCCGAATTGTTGAATCTCTTGTTTAAATTGCTACTTTTGGAGGTCGGTCGTTTGACGAAGGATCCCAAAGCGGAGCTGTAGGGTTTGAAAACGCCAACAGCTTCTCATTCCGACAAGTATTGCGGACTATCACGAATTAGCATGCAAACAAATGTCCCGGCAATGATTAACATGAGCATTTAAAGTATTTCAAGAAGATTGGACGAGGACATAGTTGTTAATTAACTGGCTCTATCGTTTTTAATTTACAGTCTTCGGCGACTTTTGTTTATGCATTGAACTACTGCGGCACATTTAACAAAAGCAGTCAGTAAAGTTGATGTATTCAAAAGTAGGAGTCTACTGATTAATTACGTTACTTAGGATTAAGTCGAAATATATGTAAGCATTATTTTTTGAGAATAGATTTAAAAAAGTTGACGACGGTGGATGAAGTAGAACTTAGTGGTACCGCCTAATCTAGAGACCCTTTTGGCTACCTACAGTCGTAGCATAATGGTGAGATGACGTTCGCGATAGGTGAAAGCAGTAAGCTAATGTGGACAGGGTGAAATAATTGATCAGTTAACTGAGTCCTAACAATTTGTCTTAGTAAATTGAGGGATGCAACTAATACTTAGCTGCCAATGCAGCGCAAAGTAAACAGGTCAATCCATTTACTTGCCAGCTTGACTGCCGACAAGGCAATCGGTAAGACGCGCAAATACGAGTCACCCACACCGTGGTACAAGTGGCCTTTTGTTATTCCCGTGTTCTGATTCTAACCCAAACATTAATCCAAACCCCAAACTTAACCGTAATTCTAATTTCTCTGGAATTTAGCGTAAGTCCAGTTGCATAACGGGGGTTCCTGTTACCGTGTTCTACCAATTAATCACTGGACAGAGTCACATTCCGCACAAGAGCATTCAGGGAAATCGGGTGGTGGTTTTCTTCGCGTTAAGTTATGAATCAAAATTTTACCGACGTTTTCATAACCACAAGATGTTAATCCCCGTAGAAAAATAGGGATTCTTAATATCTTCCCTGAGCCTATACAAAAGGAGTTTGTTTAAAGGAATACAATTGAAATACCGACGAAAAAATTTTCTCCACCGAAGGCCAAACATCAAAACACCAGGTCATAACCTACACGCAAATTGATTGTTAGAAATGTTCGAATAGCTCCCACAAATAATTGTTTGAAAGGTATTGCCACATGTATGGCTTTGTGGTGGATTTTCTGATTCCCTCAAAGAGTGCGTTTTGCATTCCAATGGAACCGTCTAAGTGTGTATAAGAGGAGAAAGAAGGCATTTCGGTGAATGTTTTTTATCAGAATGAGAACCACAATGAGAAAATGGAAGCGGGTTAAGCGAGTTACCAGCAGATTATGGGGTTATGAACGATAAATACTCATATGCGCAGCTCTGAGGCTGACAGTGAATAGGAAATATCCTGTCGGCTGATGTGCGACTAAATTGAAAAGTCCGCGTAGACATGTAAGTCTTAAAGAGCATCATTGGATATTTTGCACAATAAAAATTAACCCGAGAATGTTTCTCTATTAAATGTTGTGGAGCACTTCAAGGATGCCACGAAATCAATAAATGGTTCAATGCGAGATTTCAGTGGACAAACTGCAAGTTCCTATCCATTAGCTCTAGCTATCACGCGGCAGTTGCAAATGCGTGCATTGTGCAGACGGGACCTCACCTTGACCGTGACTTCGAGTTTCTCACAGATGGCACTCGGTGTCGTGCCAAAGTCAACTAAACTAAATTCAGGCGATCATGGTAGCCTCATTAGCATTCATTCCGTTGTAAGAGAGCAATTCACGGACTTCGACCATACATTGGGGCGGTGTTTCTACCAGTTAGCGACTCGCTTGTCGCTAGCTTGCTTGGCTTTCCCATATTTACATTCACTGCGTGAATGAGCCAGTATTCAGTACAATGCTAAAAGCAGTTACGACTGAAGATCCACAGCTAAATGAGCTACAGTTTCCAAGGCTTAAGCTCCATTTCCACGTCCACTTGAAAGGACTCCAGGTTTCGGCAGCGTTTTTCAACGTCCTCCTATTGGTGAGCACTGCCACCAAGTGGTCGATTTATTATGTGCACTTTGACCGTCTTTTCATTTTACTCCTGCCTTTCAGTGTGTCGGCCTTGTCTGCATAACCATCAGTATCTCCGTTACCCTGCTGGCAAATTATGTAGTGAGGGCATTCCCCTTTAATTTGGCCACAGCGTCGATCCTGCTCCTCCTTCTTGGGGTTTTCACTTCCGTGGTCAGTCTTTTCACCCCGGCTGAGCTGCGGAAGAGAAGAGACAGGGCGGTGGGCAAGGTAGGAACACGATCATTACGTATCCCCTCAAAAAACGTTCTATTCTAGTACACTGTGGCGGTGGTGGTTATTCTGTTCTTCCTGTGTGGCATAATTGTCGGTCTCTTTCAGGGAGCCCAGCGAGTCAGTAAATGAAAAATGTTTGAAGTAACTTTAAAAACTTTAGATGCAAATGTTGGCTGAAGTCAGAATTCACCGGATTTATGACGAGAAAAACCATTCAGTCTATGCACGAACGTCTGTATTTTTGACAGAAAATCAGGTGAGTGCCTGAAATCTTCCAAAGCAAACCTGCTATATGTGTCCTTAAGTTACATTGTTGTGGCCGCGACAGATCGGACTTCTATCCAACCGACAATTTACCAATCAGTTGTTGTGCGGATCTCACTACTAAATGTACTGCTGACAAGGCTTTTAAACTGGTAAATCTGTGATATTATGTATTTTTACTATCTACTCCTTGCCATTTATCCATGAAAACTTTCGTAAAAAGCAAACAGTTAAACGATCCACCACTGGAAACATTTCATTACTCAAATCTAATTCGAGCTACGAAGATACTACTTCGGCTGGACAAATTCAAACTAAGGAACTAACACGCTAGACACAGACAGTTGTTTCACTGTTATTACTGATCATAAGTACGCCATATGAGGCACGAGGTATAAAAACTTGCCAGGTACGCGCGTAACCCCCACTTGTTGTGTTTGGGATCTTGCTGGATTAGACAGACAGAATGGGATTGGGCAAGACTCTAACCACAATAAGTGAGAGTAACATTCCTACTTGACAAAATTCAGCCTCTGTTTGGCTTAGTTGGCAGGAAGTAATCCTATCCCTTGGCTCTTAGGGATTTCCAAGAATGTCTATAATTTTTTGAGACCATTAAAGATACTAATTCTTCGTTCAAAATTAGCTAACATTCGTGCTCTGCGAAATCATATTGTATGAGATCGAGCCAAGCCGAAGTCGAACTGAGCGTTAAAGCAACTGTTATATGGTGAAAAGTACTCGGTGACAAAGTTTTGCATGGGTCTGTGCAGCGGTGTTTGCCTCCAAACGGACTACAGTACTGTTGGGCTAGACGCAACGCGGCCATATTAGTTTATTTCATGTGTTCTTCGAGTTGCTCGGAGTCTCCGTGAGTCTTTAATTCTCGCCGTGAATGTGCACGGCGCCATACCGACGAGGGCTCACGCTGTCCTTCATTGAACCCAGTTTCATCCCTGGCCGGCCTGACTTGGGACATAAGAGGAAAAGAAGAGGAGGTTAGGTGGCTTCGGTCTTCTGACAATCGTGAATTGGAATGTTGACCCTGAGGAGATAACTCGGTTCTACTAAGGCTTGCGAGTCCGGCTATGGTAGCTTCTTCTTATAGGACCTTTACGGCTCTCAGTTTCCTGAAGTCAAGGCTCCCACTTCCTCTATAGTCTTTTTCGTGTAAACTTTAGGACCAGATCGCGTGCCACGCGCATAAACGGATTATTTGTCCTCGTAAGTCATCTAAACGGGAGTAGGCGATGTGCTGGCTTACTGCACCAATAGAAAATGTACATTTATGTTAGAAGTTTTTCCTCAGGTCAGTGACGGACCACGCCGGATGCAAGTCCCCGGATTTCGTAATTAACTAAATGGATGACTTGAACATGCGGGAAAGTAGGCGAATAAAGTGAAAACAAACTGCAAAGTATTATAGACATCCACCCACTTAGGATATCTTCCTATGTTCGAAAGGAGAGCAGCCTGTCCGCGTTAGAAAATATATTGACTAAACGGCAAAATTTCCTTTTCAGCCTGATAATTAGAGCCCTTTACAACTTTCCGACAGCTTTCGTTACACTTAGGTCAAGGTGGTGGTCTGTATTTCAAAATAGACGCATGTTTTTCAACCCCGCCAGCAGCCAATTTTCTTCTTCAACATCTGTTATATCGCTCATCGGCATCGCCTCTGTATGTTTGAGCGCAGCCTACAAAACCAGTTTAGGTTAGCAGTGTACAAATAAATTAAACAACGGCACTAATGGTCGAGAATTTCTTGTGTTGGTATTCTTCGTTGTAGCTTTACTGATCGGGCTTCCAGAGGAAAACCTCCAAACCCTGAACATTACACAATTCTCTATTTTCATGGTTAAAAACATCGATTTTCATATAACCTCAGTCCATATATCTTCAAAGTCACTTGGAATGTGTGTTCATGAATCTATCCTGATTGTAGTATGGAATACAGATGATTCCGTTCTGAACTGCAGCTCTAGTTTCGGCACTTTGTCTGTAATTAATTCAAACAATTTTCTACATTTAGCAAAAAATCACAGACTTTTTTTGCCTTTGACGTAAGCCAATTGGCTGATTTGAGTACAGAGTCAAACATTATGTTAGAAATAAAAACCTGCCCTGCATTTACTTGGCGAAGCATCAGGCATGACAAATAAATTTCTGATCGGAATTTATGGATACTGCTTCAAAGTGTGTAGGATCAGACCAATTTTGTCTTTCATGTCCGATAAAAGTCTCAGCATAAAATATCATGCTACGAAGGGTTTATAAATGAGAAACCGTTATTTTAAAAGTAACAACAGCAACTAATCACCATTTCTGTTACGTTTGCCTTCCGCTGGTCATGAATGCAGCAGCCAATTCCACTGGCTTCTCCTAGTAATTTTATTAGCAACTGCTTCAAAGTTAATCAGTGATATTTGGTGAAACCCAACGATGTAGCGACTTACCCTAGCTTATAAACGCAGTAATAAGATTTGGTAATTGATTTGCTTAAGAGACGACTGGAGGCTATCTTTCACGTCGAATACCTGTAACGGTGAGTTTTTTAAGGCAGCTCATTTCGAGGACTGACTGTTTTGCATTCATGGTCAGTCGCACTAATTGCCTTTAAGGTTAGGTCTTGCGGCCCCAGAAAATCGGTGAAACGCGTGCTCGTATTGGGAGTGAGCTGAGACGAACATCCGTTTAAAACTCACTCTAATGCTAAATTCGTCGGTGGAAACCTACAGCTTTCCACTGACTTTAATAACATTCAAGTAGTATGTTCCAATAAAACTTAAAGACGGACTCGAACAGCTGTGTTGTCACACTGAAACCTGGAGTTATCCCGAAAATCAAGTAGGGCACGCCAGGCGATCCTCAGTGGAACCGAATTCCCAGTGGTTTCCACTACAGCTACCAGTTTAAAAGGCGCTCCCTATTGCTAATTCTTGTGTTCTGAGCATGTGCATGGACTCTAGAGATATATTTGCGGATGCGAACACACGCTCTTCTCCGAAGTTTCTAGTATTTGCGTTAAACGCTTGTATGGACTGAAGAAGTCTTCTTTCACGGAATTAATGTTAAGGCAGCCCATCATTTTGGAAGAAACTATATAATTGGGATTGACATCATTACTTCATCGTTTGATGGGTAACCTTTTCATTACATGCGCCGACCCCATGTGGCCGAAATCCCAGGGTAGATGGCCCCTTCGACAGTTAAGTGGCTGAAGACTAGCCTGGGCAGTCTACTTCAACGTCTCTTAGGGCTTCCTGTTTCGTCAGATTTTGCGGTGACTTAAATTAAAGAGACTTTAAAACCGCAAAAATACTAACAGAGCCTTTTATGAGGATGAAGTACAGTAACTGCAATAGGTGTCAGGTCAATAAACTACAGATATTCTGGCAAATAAGTAGACCTGCTCTCTCAACAACAGCGACATGTACCCAATTTTCACTTTATGACACTGTATCCGGTTCATATTGCTATTGATTGATAAGGCGGAATTAATAAACAGCTTAGCGATTAAGCAGCCAGAGAATAAAACGTGCTGCTACTGCCTTCCCTTAAGACATGTAACAGTGTGAACCAAAATGCTACCTGCGTCAGCTAACTGGCACACGTACAGTGAAAACTAGTGTTCAACATAAAAGGAATGCAAACAACGACGGGAAGGTTGGAGCAAGCATTTTCGGATTTGCTGTTGTCATCAGCCAGCCATGTTCAACTGCGGTCCAAGAGAAGTATAGTTTTAATCCAGACCAAATGGTCCTCACTCATATGAGCCAATTGAGGCGCTCACTCACGACTCGTAGGTCTTGATCTAGAATACTCAATTTTACGTAGAGTTTGTACCTGTCCGCTTGAGGGGAGGAACACGCCGGTTCCGTCCCGTCGGGAAGCTCCAGTTTAGGTTTCTGACAGGCGGTTACCTGGCGCCAGACAACTTAATGTAGAAGGAGTACTAACAAAGTGAACGGAGTCTAAAACAGTTCTTTATAGCTCATGTGTCATGGATGCGCAGACAGTGGCCCGAAAGTTTGCGTTTTTCTCATTTAATTGCGGAATCGATTTTTTTCGAATCCACTGAGTATGGCCCTCATACCTTAGGCTATAATAAATGCACAAAAATATTAGTATTTTCTGTAAAGTCCGTTTGGTATCTGCCTTGATCGGTGGTGATCGAAGTTAATCTGTTATTTATTCGCTATTCTACATACTGGCAAAGCTTCCAATTTATGCAAGGATGTCTCATAAACTTTCTCAATCCTTGAAAACACTCAATCTTCCGTACATAGATGTAAGTAGAAGAGGCTTACTGCCCAAAAAGCTTTTTTAATTCTAGGTGTTTCTCGGGAAAGTGTTAAAACTCACGCACGGGCTCATCATAAAATTGTAGGCCAAACTTTAAATCGAAATGCAAAATGTGGTTTGGTCAGTGTGTGCACACCTCTGGTGAAAGACAGTAGGGGTCAAGTGGCATAATGTGTGTGTGAGAGGGGGCGGTTATTAAGCTTACTTCGCCCTTGCTGGTGCCCGTCTACTGACGTCAAAATAACTTATTATAACTATAAAGGTCTAGTAAGGAAAATGGTTCAGCAATAAAAATCTAAGGCTGCCATTGTGGAATACCTAATGAGGCTCGATAAAACCACTCAGCCGAATGCTAGTTTTAATAAATGCGCTGGTTTCGGATGAGTTCGACAGTAAATCAGTAGATTTGGGGCGCCACATGACTTATGAGAAGTAGAACTGTCATGCGCCTCATTTTTAATGTTCTGTTGTTGAATTCTTCTTCCCATTCGCAAAATTTCTTATTCCAGGCATGGTCTAAAACCTCCATTTATAGAGCTGCTTCTAGCGCGAACTAAATTGTCGTTAAATTATTCTAGTTATTGTCGGCAGAGGACTATAGATCATCAATCCCCACTGCAAGCCATTACTCATTCAAATTTTCTGCGTTTGTTAAACTCTCTGTAGGCTAAACGAAATGGCTAACACCATTTTACGGTCTCACACACTCATCTTCACTCGGCCCACATGGTGTCTACTTTTTTGCTTTAGTTCGAGAGGATTCACACGCAGCTAGTGCGCTAGCCTGTAACCTTTTCATAGGGCTTTGCACATGCGAACATTATCATGTGGTATTTGCTAACAGACCTTTGTTTTCTTATTCAAGGGTTGTGTTGACTCAATGAAGAAACTGATTCATGGACGGCTTATTGGATTCACGACCATTTTACTTATCTGCTTGTTCCCTCTTCTTGGCGCCATTATCAACGGTTTCGTGTTGTATTTGTACCTCAGAAAAGTGAAGGCGGCAGCGGACGCTGAATTTAGTAGTTAATCCCCTTTGTTCGCAACTTGACATTTAAGCAGATCAGCCGACTTTCTTTATAGCACAATTGTAATCAAATTTGAGAAGAAAATTTACATTTCCAAATCTTTACATTCAGGCCTGCACTACTCCAGGTACATAGTCAGGATCTTGTCAACCTTAATATTCTGCAAAATAGACAGATCAAATAGAAAAATGGCCATTTACAACACAGGAATCCTAGCGACAGAAATCAGATGCCTCATAAAGCACACACACCCGACAGTCCAACCGTCAATTTCGACGATGTCCACCATGTGCACCACAGCAGGGTGGGAACAGGGGCGGTGATTTGCGAGCGAATCGGTTTATAGTGATAATGGGCTTGCACAACATCTATCGCTCTATCATCCCCTCACCCACCTGGCTTCGGTGTCAAGACAGAGTCAAGAAAATCGGAGGCAGAAGAAGGCCAAGGTGGTTAGCACGGTGTAAACCCGCACTTAGGCGCACCGCCACGCCACTTGGTCCACAACACACACTGACCAGGGTTTCATACAATAAATATAGGGGGTAGCACGAGTGGGTGCGGATTAGACCAGAAACGTGGCGTGCCATCACGCCCTAGTGTTAGCAATTGTTATAGATACATATTCTCGATAACTCCTGCCGTACTCCGATATAGCACCCCTGTTAGTCCAGCGCATATACGCGTGGCCGGTTTTAGGGGCACAACCTAAACACACACACACACGGCAGCTCGACCGTCAGTGTCGATGGTGCTTACGGTGTGCTCCACAGCGAGCTGACAGCAGGCACGGTGACTCGCGCGTGAATTAGCTTACAGTGGATGTATACTTGCGCAGCATCTACCGCGCTCTCTCCTCCTCCCGCACCTGGGCCTAGTGTCAAGATAGAGTTAAAAAGGCCGGATGCTGAGGAGAGCGCAGGCGGATGCCACAGCCGCGCCCGCACGTTTGCGCTCCACTGCGCACCCCTGCTCCACACGCCAAATGACCAGGACTTTAACCAACAACAAAAGATTCTGACGCCGCCGAAGTCAAAAGCCTCCCAAGCCACGGTGCTTGACGCACCGTAATAGTCTCAGAATCCTAGCGCGCACGTAGCAGAGGAGCCGCAAGGCGAAGGAACCGAGACGCACACTTCCAACTTGTGTGGGAGGCGGCAAGTGAGTGCTTACGATGGATGATGTTGTGGTGCATGCGCTGGTGAGGGAAGATGTGATGGTGTGACGCGGCCGGCGGTTGTCTTCCGCAGGTTTTCATGAATGCGGCGAGTGAATGTGCGGATGCGTTGAGGGCGGTTGGGGCGGATGCAGCGGGTGTATGTGGGTGCTCCAGGCACTGGTTCGCCAGTCTCTGCGCGACGGATTCGCAAGTGACCGACCAGGCTGATGTGTGAAGTGACGGTGCGACCGCAATAAGGGCAGGTGTGGACCGAGTCCACATCGTTGGCGTCGTCGGTGGTGAGATTGATGTTTGTCGGTACGTTAGGATTGAGTGCAGCGGCGGTGTGTGCAGGAGCCGCAGCAGCGGATGTTGAGGCTATGAAGGAGAATGGCAGTGGGTTTTCAGGAGTGCGGTCAGTGTTGACCGTGGGTGTGGTTGGCAAGTCAAAGGTGGGCGGGAGGATATCGGATGGTGTCGTCCAAATGATGTAGTTGGTTCGAAGATGTCCAGTAAGATCGATTGGTGCCCGGAACGTCCGCTGGTTTTGTGGGCACGCACTGAACTGAACCATGGTGACTGAGGGAATTTTGACCAGTTCCCCTTTCAAAAGTACCGACATTTATTTATGAACCTGGAACTCGACTACAGACCATTTGTTGTTCTACAGAGTCGGTTTAACATGCAGTTATATCGCGCAGACATCTTGATGCTTTATATAACAGACACGAAAAACGTACTTCATTTAAAGGGATTTTTGGCCTCCATCCCGCCCTTGTTTCAGCCGGTGTACACATTCTGATTACTAATAATTATTAGGCACCATGCGATTGCCCACGTGATTTGTCGGTCCCCAGCTCAATGAATAAGCGGGATCGTTTGTATTTCACACTCATGTGACACTGGGCGATTTCGATCTCAATCCAAAAGTACATGAGTCTGTGAATTAACCGCGGAACGTCCACGTGCAGGCCTACACCTTGCCAATTAGGATCTGAGTCGTCGTGCAAGATCCTCGTCAGTGTACGTTGTGGACCAGGTGGTGTGGTGGTACGCCTAGTCGCGGGTTTTCGCCGTGCCAGACATCCGGGCCCTTTACCGGCTCCGGTCTTCTTGACTCTGTCATGACACCGGTCCCAGATGGGGGTAGATGACAGAGTACGGTAGATGGGCCACAAGTTTATCGGCATGGTCAGTTATTTTTATAGCTACGAAGTTGCATTTGTGACCCGTTTCGAATGTGGGCGTGATAATTCCTCATCCTTCCACACTGCCAGCTCATTTTCGTGTACTGACGGTCAGCACACGAGTTCAGTCTGGCCTGCTTAAGTGTAAGGGCAGTATGGGCGTGGGATGCGACTCACAAAACCAAACTACTCCCAGGTCCTCCATTTTCAGAAGTCTGCTGTACATAGTAGCTTTGAGTCAATTTTCATTTCCAACACCGAAATCCCGCAGCAGTACGCTCGGTTGTCTCTGAAGAGGCCTTAATATATGGCAGCGCAGGCCGTATCCTCGATGTCGTTTCTGTTTGGGTCCTCCAAGAATAAACACGTAGGTATTGGCTTATAAGGACGTTCAAATAGCCTTTCCAAACAAACTGATCGCGATGACATCTGGCCTCACACGAGTTTTTTTCCGAGTTGCCGCAGTTGGTTTGAATCCGTTCGAAGAGCCTCCACACACAGCTTCCTTTGTCAGCCGCCGGATGATTGATGTGAAAAATGAGAAGCTTCGTCATTTTGCTGCCTTCCTGTAAACTATCGTCTTAATTTTCCCATTAAGACAATTATAACTCCTAAACGAGTTCGAAGGTTCAGCAAATGTTTCCGGTGCTAAAACGGATATTCAAAACAACGACCGATGAATTTTCTCTTATTTTTCCCTGTCATAGCCTCAACATGGAGGTCACTGAAGAAAAATCACTTCCTCGCGGGTCATTTTCTTTCCTCAGAAAGCCATTTTTCTTGGACGTCTCACACTTATCTTTTTTGCTTGATGTTGCAACACCTTCGACGTCGTACCGCTCACATTCATGCAGATAAATGCGTAGCTCGGATTGAATATTTTTAACTGTCCTTCATGCAAACTGGTTTTCGTCATGTTTCCGCCCGGCGTTAGGGCACCTCTGTTGTTGTGTCCTTCAGTACTAAGGTCTGCTCGCAAAGGTTTTCTTATAATCCCAACGCACGATGCCTTACCGAGACGTAAGCTCACTCTTAGCTATGTTAATTAAATCGTTGAGCGCCTGCAGCATAGATAAGAGAAGGGTCTTAGAAACAGACTTGAATGAACTTGGCAGCAGATTGAGACAGAGGGGAATTCAACTGTGGATTGGGCAAACGATAATGGGCTTTTTCATTAAGTGACTTAACAAATAATTATGCTTAAAGGAAGACGAAGGCACGATCACTGGGACGGTAAAATTATTGGTCTTAGCTTCGAACTCGACTGCTAGAGTGCAGCTACGTGTGAAGATCTATATCGTTGTGCCGTGAAGGGGAGGGGGAGACTACGTCCGTGGCTAGGTCTGGTTTGTGCTGCCTGGCCCACAATGGTCCACCGGCGTGGTGACGGCGTTTGTACTTCGCAGCGATGTGAGCTGCGCCACCCGGCTGAGTGAATGGAGTGCGTGCTAACACGCAGGCAAATCAATAAAATCCCGTACCATAGCTGTCCTTGCCACTACACAGGCCAAACAGGACGACGTCTCAGTTCACGAACACCTCAGCTTAAACGGGCCGTTCGGAGAGGTGACCCACTATCTCAAGTCGCCACTCACACGCTTGAGGAAGGTCATGAGTTCGACTTCGTCAACACGCGGATATTGGCGTGAGCCGTCAACAAGACGGGGCGAGAAATGTTGGAGACGTGGGTGTCGGACACCAACTTTATCAATAGACACATTGATTTTCCTGCGTGTTAGCACGCCCTCCATTCACTCAGTCGGGTGGCGCAGCTCACATCGCTGCGAAGTACAAACGCCGTCATCACGCCGGGGGACCATTGTGGGCCAGGCAGCACAAACCAGACCTAGCCACGGACGTAGTCTCCCCCCCCCTCATGGCACAACGATATAACTGTTCATACGTTGGTGCACTCTAGCAGTCTCTGATGCTGAACTCCAGCTCGAGTTCGAAAGCTAAGACCCATAAATCTACCCTCCCGATGATCGTGCCTTCGTCTTCCTTTAAACAAAAACCTGAGATGCGCATATACTCTTCGATTCGAAATAAGTATGTGGGTAACAAAGTCTTAACTTTTGACAAACTATAATGCCCGAATTGCCACAATTATCCCGATAGGCGCATACTGTTGTCTAGTATGCACACGCTTAAATGCATCCTCGGTCAAGGATTTGATTTTCTCGCGAAGACCATTGCAGAATCCGCAGATACGAAATTTCGTAATCACCAGATGACTTGCAGTAATGAATGTTCTAAGTGATGGCGATGATTGACAATATGAGTTGGGTGAATACAATATTACGGTCATTTCATTCAGGCAGAAAAGGAGATAAAAAAGACAGAAGGCTGAAGCAACAAGGAGGGAAGATGGAGGGGTAGACTAATAGGATAGTGCAATTAAAGGGCCAACAGGAGAGGACCCGAAGTCGATAGCAATGTTGACTCCTCCTGGATTTCATTGTCAGTTAGGATAACCATATACAGCGATTGCCACCAAATGTTGTGCTGAGGAAAAACTAAACAGGGCCAGGTTGAACATAAATAAACGCACACCAAATAATTCCGAATAAATGTTTATTATTCTAGCCCTAGGTTGGTCTCCTTTTGCAGAATTTTCGGGCTAAAGCGGTGCTATGGGCAAAAACCACTCTGTTTGTGCAAGTATGGATATTTGGAGGAGACGATAGCCCGGTCCGAAATTCCGTTCGCCCTTTTAGCACAACTAATTAATAGTGATGCATGTTTTTAGTGGTACAAGTAACCTGGATCCGCTTCCTGTCAAGGTCTAGAAACAATCCTGAGAGCAGTCAGTCTTCTGTTATTCATTTTGAGGGACTGGGGTGAACTGAGCCATTTGTTGAAATACCAGGCGCTGGTCTCGCCTTTTGTCCCCGTCCATCACCGCCAACATGGCAGAGCCAACGGCAAGGGTTTCAATGGGTTTCCTAGTCTATTTCAATGACGCAAATGACTAACGATCAGTGGCAAGGTTAATTTGAGAGGACAAATTCGGCCATGTGAACGTCAATACTACTTAAACAATTACAGTGGAAATCGTAGGTCTATTCAAGAAGCTTTAACTTGTATGTGGGATTACGCTCTTGATTAGTGAAGTTGATGCATACTATAATGGACGAATGCAATACATCCCTTCTGATCTAGTAGTCACCTCTACGAGGATAGTGGTCTTGCGCATGCGGTTCGGGGAGGATCGATCTCAGCAGTCCGAATTCGCAGGAATGAAGTGGACGTGCGTATTTTAAAATAGCAGCCAGACGAGGAGCTTATTTTAAAGTGTTTTTGTCCGGGTCGCCTCCCGTATAATTAAATTACTTCGTGTAAGTTTCGGACGAACGGCACGCATACACATTCCTTCGAAATGTCGGCTTGGAGCACTTGATTGAGCCGATCAATTATTCGTTAATCCAGACACTGACGTAAAAAGAAAATATTTCTAAAAGTGCTGGGGGAAATAAACACCGTCTACGAGCCGTGCATAGTATAAATAGAGACCAAAGTCGGGGAACGACTTGGCGAGGTCCATTCCATTCTTCGGGAAGCAAATTCTTTTAGAAAATGGGTTCGTTCACTAGTCATATTGAACGCAATATCTCTTAGGTTCACACTACTTAATATTTTTAACCATTTTCAGCACAAAACTGACTTATCCATCGCATATATTGTGATTTGTCCTTAATTATTAGTACATACTTCTTTTGTCTTCATACACCAAAACCAGTACTGTGACGTCCACCTGTCATGGTACTAGTGCATTTTGGCGCTCTATTATTAAGCACATCATTCCAGTTCATCCATCTCCGATAAACGAATAACAGCAGTGAGTTTGCTCACATGACCACCTCCACAACTTAGTCTGCGCAAGGAACACACCAACGCTGTCTGTGCCGCAAAAACTGACAGCGTTATTAAAGAAACTAAGGACTGAATAATGGCCCCCTCGATCCCAGTTTCGGTCAGTCCTTAAGAGGGGGCATGTGCTAGCAGGGAACTGGTGCAATGACCAACCAAACAATTATAGAAAAAATTCATGAATTGCGCGTTACTTAAAACTTACCGTAAGTCACTGTACAAATCAAGGCGCCTAGAGGGAGAATACAGAGCTAATTATAATTTAGTATATATGTATAAGGAAGAGAGGCGGAGCCATCGAAGACCCCATTTACAATGGTAGGCTGATAAAAGGTTCGTATGTTTTCGTTGTTACGCGGGTACATCATATCAGCTCTTGTCAATAAATATACAGCCATAAAATAAAGTGCTGTCAAGTCTTCGTTTGAATGTTTGAAGTATTTTGACAGAACAGTCGAATCAGGTAATTTGTTCTATTCTTCAATCACCCAATA